AGTCAATCTACTCTCATCTATTCTCCTCTCCCTTGTGTACACAATACATTCTGTCATCTACTCTGGCCTTTATGGACTTCTCTTCTGCACTAAGTAGCCATGGTCTGAAGATCGCAGTTGCACGGTTTAGCTTACCTAACCCCCTGCGATAAATGTATGCTGAACTTATATCTACCTCACGTTCGGTGATAGGGATCAAATTCATTACATCTCGCTTGTGTATGTAGAAGTAACTAATATTAGTACGCTGACACCATCCAAAGACCTGCTGACCGTCAATGCGTGAGCCGTGGTTCCCATAGTTCTGTACTGGGTCACCATCGTTTTCTTCGGCAGGAGGATCCTCACCTAAACGACGGCTACAATTGGATTTATGGCACTCTGCAAATCTGGCCTCACCGATTTGTAACTGGGTTTTCTAGTGTTCCGTTCAGCGTTCTGCTCTTAGCGACAGATACCCTTTCGGTGCAGACTTCCCGGCAGTAATTGAACCAGTAAACCCCAGTATATGGGGCCTATCAGCAAGTGTTGGCACCTAATCCAGTGGTCTTCTGTTGCTCCAGAGATAAACCAGTTCTAACATTTCACAGAGCTTCAAATTGTAGTAGAGTCTTCAGTGCAAAGCCCAATAAGAGCACTCGTTCTCCATTCATCTTGATTAAACAGACCGCAAACCCTTCCCTCTGAACCTCAAGTTCGACACATTCTGCTCACGAACCTTCTTGTTCATGAACATCACCTGCCTATTGCACTTGTGGCAAGATTTTTCATCTAATAAGAGACCATGTCGGGGGGAGCTATCGGGACGCCGTCGCTTCTTCACTAGACACCACTTCAGTATAAAACTCCCGTAACAACAACATGTTGAAGGGTATGCTGATGTAGGAATAAAAATGAACGAAGGAGTCACGCTATATTAGCATCGAACACGCTGTAAGGTGATAACCGAACAACAAGGAAACGTGTGTCTAGGCCTTCACAACGTAATCTCGGCTGAAACATGGGGGTCGGAGCAATAGCAATCACAAAACATGCACTTACGGGGCATACTAGGTCGTCTAAACTCACCGCATTTTAGCTCGCATTGTCTCCTCCTGTTTCTTTGTAATCAAGCGTTGAAAACTACTGATGAGCTCCAGGTAGGAAGTCGGAGTGACATAGGTTTTACGACCCAGTTGTCTGAAGAATTTTTCTGACAGATTCATAATCGAGGTATGGAAGTACTTGAAGATATGTACAGCGCTGTCACGCATTTCCTCTTCAATTGAAATCTTCATCAAAGACTTGCGGGCGACACGCTCCAAGGCGTCTTCTGGCCAGGGCTTTTTAAGGAGGCGAAATGAAATAAGGCGACAGTTTATATAGTGCACCTGACAAAGCTCAGAAGCTTATACAGTTTAACAATACTTGCTAGTTGGTTAGCATTGGCTGGTCAGGCCGGTGGAAGCTGAATAAGACCTAAATTAGGCCGGCTTTCTATATAGTCTTGCAAGAAAAGGCAAAGGCAAATTCTAACTGATTGATATTAAAACACGGGTGTCTTGAAATAGTTCGATCCTGCAAAAATATTCTTGAAGAAGTTGGGAGACATAATCAATGATCGTATATTATCATCAACTGTTACTATTCCTATCAAATCGGAAATCATATTGCGGTGATAACTAAAGTAGAATGCTCACTTTTCAGTAGCGGACCACCTGACGTTTAAGACTGCCACTCCAGGGCAAGAAATTCTGTCGGACCAAGAGGCATGGAGGTCCAGCTTAGGCTTAAAGACCCATATTGAACCAATTAATATCATGGCATAACGCAGATAGGAATCTGGAAAACCTTAAATAACTTGCCCAAGGATTTACATTTGCCTATTTTAGTTAAGCCCCAGAGGAGTTATCTTATGGTGGAAGGTTGAGAATCCACCA